TTTATTGTTATAAATTTCTAGTTAAATCCTTGGTAACTAACAAATCAATGCACAGCATAACAAATCACTTCAGCAATGCAGTATGCACTTTAAATTCCTCTAGTTACACTCAATTTGCGCTTTTGTTTTCATATTTTGTAATCTGGCAATCTTGTTGCGAAAATATTTTTAAATCATTCTTGAAGAATTTCCCGTTCATGTAAGTACATCTGGTTTCGCTACTCGCTTTATAGATTTTGTTTTATACTGTTTTATCTTTTATTTTATTTTCTGTTTTTACGTGTTATTTTTACTTATTGTGTTCTATTTTATTTGTTGTAATTTTTGTAAAAAACTTTTTTTTGAGTGTTCCTCACACTATTGTATTAATATATTTTGCTTTGGCTATATTGATACAATATCAGAATGCACTCTTTTTTGCGGATATAATCACAAGGGCTGATGAAAAGATTATATCTTTTATTTTCCGGTTTTTTTAGAAAATTTCATCCTTTTTTCTTCTTTTTTTTTTAATCAGTTTGTTATTTTTTTCCATTATTATTCCCCCCCCCCTTTTTCATATGTCTATAATTTTTCTTTGTTCTATCTTCATTTTGAACTTATATATATATATATATTGAATAGAAATAACTATACATTCTGCAAAAAAGTTTGGAAATGGTCAATCTCGAAAAGTATGCATCGAATCGAAAAAGGGAAAAGAGTCATTAAATTTTTTTTAAAGCTATCCAATAATACCAAACTTGATCTTCCACATCTCCCCCCCCCCCCCGGNTCACATCCCCCCCCAGGGGACAGGGTAGGGGCAACTTTGAAATCTTTAATATGAACCCCTATTTTTTATTGCAGTTTCAGATTCTCCAGAAATAAACCTTACTTGACCACTAGGTTTATGCATTTTGCATCACAGATGGTACTGTAACAGAGAAAATTAAAATCAAGTATAAACTGTTAAAGATGTCGTATCTTGAGAATCATCAGATAAGAACTTAAAAATAGACACGTTTCACATTTTTTAAAATAAAAACTGAAACTTTTGTATTTATTTTTTTCTAACTGATGGTTTTGTGAGATACTCCCATTTTATAAAGTTTACCCGATTTTAATTTTCTTAGTTACAACTCCATCTGGGGAAGCAAAATGCATAAACTTATACATCTAATAAGGTGCTTCTTATTGATTAATTGTATGCATTTGATTTAAAAAAATTATCTTTAAAATTGTATTAATATTGTTTCAGATTATTGCTTTGAATACAAATACATACCAAACTGCTTCCAGAGTCTTAGAATTGAAAGTGGAAAATAGATCTAGTAAGTATTAAATAAATAATTCCAAAAAACTGAATTGGTGAGATATTACTTATTAAAAAAAGTCATTCACTTCAAAAATATGTGTATATCGAAATGAATGTCGATATGTTTCAAGTGCTCAGAAATTGGGTGCCCATTCTCAAGACTTGCCAGATGGGAATAAGAAAAAACAAAAGTGATTTGAATTATAAAATGTAAAGTTGCCAACAAAAAAAGGAAAATAAAGATGAGAAAGAAAATAAACAAGAAAAACCGTAGTAGTTAACAGTAAAACAAAAATTAAGATCAAAGAAATGAACAGAACAAGTAAAACCACTGTGGCCAAGAAGGGCAAATTAAGATAAAATGCATTTCCACATGATTTGGAGAAGTAGTAAGGAACTAATTTCTTTAACACGGAGAAATCATCTCTCTTTTGAATAAAACAAAAAATTCCTGGGCATCAAGAGAAGCTAACGTGGCTGGGGTGGAACTAATTTTGACACTGCCAAAGTTGAATTCATGTCTAAGATATAAAAAAATATAAAGCAGTTGATGATTTGACAAATTCTTGTTAATGGACATATCTATCGTGTTTCTTAAGTCTACATTTTTAATAGTGTTTGGTTTGTGGCAAATTCTACAGCGATCAAAACTGATACTACAGTTTTTAATAGACTTAAATTATATTTTGTTAACAGGCTTAAAAAGGACTTAAAAATCAAAACAAAAGAGAATATTAGCAATTATATAACAAACTAGGAAAATAAACGGTTAGAAGAAGAGGGGGATTTGAGTCTATTGAGTTAAGCAAGAGCTGAATCATCTATAGAAGGGTTAATTCCACAGATTGATCCCCTTGTTGACAACATTAATTGGAAATGAATTTTACCCTGATTTGCCCCTCTTGGCCATGTAAGTTTTCTTATTTTGTTTTATTCTTGGCTACTGTGGTTTTTCTAGTTTTGATTCTCAATTTTATTTTTCATGGACACATTTACATTTTATGTTTCAAGTCACTTTTGTTTCTCCTTATTCACATATAGCAAGTCTTGAGATTTCCTATTTCCTCCTTGAGTCCTATTTTTGAGCATTGTAACTTGATGACTTTTGTTTTCATTTGCATATTTTGGAAACCAATAAAGTTTTTTAATAAGATCTAGTAATCTTTTAAACTATAATATATGATTTTAAACATAAAATTTGTACAACGGAATCTTTTTAATTTTTTTTACTGTTACATAACATAAGAGGTCTTTTTTTTAATAGATATTATCAGAATTGGTTTGAACTTCAATTTTGATCTTACTGTGAAATTTTTTTTTTCCTATTGGCAAATAAAGATAATCATAAAACTCTAAATAAAATTTTCACTTTCTAAGTAAAGTCTTAACTTTTTAAATAAAACCTTTGTAAATAATCTCTTCTTTCTAGATAAATGAATCTAACCATAGACAAATTACTGATTATTATTTTTCAATAAATAAAGTATATATCTTATATTACTTTTTATACATTTTTTCCTAAGTGCAGCAACATTTATATAATCAGATTTGATTAGGTGCCAATATTTAGAAAGTTTATTGTACTCTTTTATCATTCATATAAATTTTTTATAGGTGTCTCTGAGTATGAAGTTGAAATGAAATTCTTGAACTTGAATGTTGAAGATATGTTTAGCTCTGACAGACTTAAACGCTTGATAGAAATATTTCATTCTAACTTATGGAAAGGTAGTGGAGATATATATGTCACTAAAGTTGTTTCTTCACTTGATGTGGGAGGGCGTTTACCTCTAAATCCTAACATGAAAGAAGGGTTTGTATTTCAAAATAAGCTTCCTTTTTTTAATCCTATTGAATTGTTGCTTAACATAATATTTTTTTTTAGAGTTGTCGTTAGAATTGGAGGAAGTTTAACTTTTTCTCGTGACTTACTAGATTTGGAACGAGAAGTGCAGCCTTTAAGAAACAGACAACCATGCCCACGAGATTATAAAAGAACATCTGTTGAACATCTATTTCGAAGTAGAAATTTTGTAACTGACTGGTGCAGTTTTCGTTTGGTAACTATTTTATTTTCATTGGTTATTTTTCTGGGAACATTTTATACAAGTAATATACGTCTGTAGGAAGTTTTTATTAATGAATTGTGGAATGTCTGTTTTTCATATCCAAAACTTAAGATTTCAAATTTGACCCCATCCTTTCTGTTAGTACCATATTTTTCGGCGAAAGCACCGCTTCGTCGCAAGCGCCGCACATCGATAAAAATGAAATTTTTTTAAAACAAAAAGTTATAGTAAGCGCCGCAATGGCGCTAAACCGCGCATATCAGCATCCTTTTAGAAGAGACCTTTAAATTACCATTTAGAATATCTGTATAATAAAAAATTAAATTTTTGTATGCATTTCATAAAGTAAAGTTTTAATTTCTAAATTATAATAAAAAATTTCTTTTTCAGCAATAAAGAAAAGAAGAAAAAAAGAAAACAACAAAACGATATAAAATAAAGTTGTTCTTACCGGTTGGCACCGCTCCAAAAAAACAGAAAAACAGCAAAAAAATTATTTACATGTGCAGTAGCTGAATTAACGCTGAACTGATTACAGAAATCAGTAAAACAATGTAATAAGAAAAATAAAATAAAAATTTTTTGAAAGAAAGATTTTAAAATGAAAAGATTTTAAAATTTATTACCGTTAACAATTAAAGGAAAAACTAATACATAATAACGAAATAACTAATAATAACAAGAATAAGAAATAACTAAACAGGCCCCAAAAAAATTCTGAAGGAATGAGCGAAGAGGAAATAAGTTTCACTTTCACAATCTTAGTGGGTAGAATGCCCTCTCCTTCAATGGAAATAACCCAATATGACTCTACTTAGAAAGAGAAGAAAATGTTTAAAAGAGGGTGTACCCCACCTCCTCTACGTGTCATTTCTACTGGAGCTGTTTAGGAGAAATCGATCAGTTACATTTTAAAGGGGTTGGGGAAAAGAAAAGGGTATGGGACCCCTAATCCAGCATTCCAAAATTCAGCACTTAATCTGATCTAATTTTTTTTCTTCTTTTTTTTTAAGAAATTTATATTGATAAGATAAAAAATAATCAGCTATATTCTTTTTATTTGGAATTTTATTCTGTTGAAGTAACTTACTTTATTTTATCTTTTAAAAATAAAAAAGAAGCTTGAAAGAAAATAATAATAATAATAAATCTGTGTCAAAGGAAACATCTGTTTCTTAAGCAGTCTAAAATAAATTGAGAAGTAAAAACATCTGCATTCCCAATGAACAAAATATAGAAATGCAAGTTGGAAAAAACTGATCAATCAATCTTGACAGCTGGGCTTGTGCTTTACTGATTTGCCCCCATATTTCCCTCCTCTGTTTGACCATAAATTGGCCGCACCCAGTTGACATTGAGACTACCATGGGGACAACAAAATGAATTCTATCCCTTTTGCGGTTTTTTATTTGATTTATTAATTTTTTTATTTTGCCGCTTTTTATTAGTTTTTAACTGCTAATTTGTTTGTTTTTTTTGTCAATAGTTAGCTTGTTTTTTTTCTTCTTGTTAATAGTTGTTTGCTTGTTTCTTTTATTTTTAACGTTATTAGTTTTTTGCTTGTTTTTTGTTGTTATTCATTGTTAGTTTCTTAGCATTAATTGTTAAAAAATTTTTTTTTTGTAGTTCCTTGTTAGCTTTTTTTTTTTTCTTGGGAGGTATGCGTCTTTTGTTAAAACAAAATATTATCTAAAAGAAAAAACGAGAACTATGATCTCGCTCCAAAGAAGAAACGATTATTTCTTCTTCATAGGATTCTGATTATTTCTTCTTGATTATATTATATAGATTATTATTTTGATTAGTAAAATTTCTCTTAAGATGGGCCAGTTTTAAATTCACCCCATCATAATCTACGATCGAAACTTGACTAAATTTATTGGTTTTTCTGAAATTAACAGTGGAATTGAATTATAGTAATATTTGGGGGCCATATTGGAATTTCCGAAAGAGATCCGAAGTTCGGCATTTCGTCAGTCCCGTGAGTGTTGGATTTAGGGTCCTATTACTTCTTTTTCTGTTCTCTCAAATTACAATTGCCGATGTTCTGCAGCAGATCGCGATATGGGTGAATATTTTGTCGACTTAGTTATTAATTTTTTTAATAGTCTTTCTCTTAGAAATTTATTTAATTTTAAATAACTTTCCTTGAAAAAATTTTTTGCTACTAAAAAATATTTCGTCGGAAGCGCTGCATGTAGGAAAAAAACAACTTTTTTTCGATAGCGCCGCGGCGCTTCCGCNTAATAGTCTTTCTCTTAGAAAATTATTTAATGTTAAATAACTTTCCTTGAAAAATTTTTTTGCTACTAAAAAATATTTCGTCGGAAGCGCCGCTTGTAGGAAAAAAACTTTTTTTTCGATAGCGCCACGGCGCTTCCGCCGAAAAATACGGTAGTTTATTGTTATTCCATCAAGCTTGTGTATTTATTTGTTACCTTTTATATATTAATTAAAATCTTTTTCAAATATATTGCAAGAAATAACCTTAAGTACAGTATTTTATTCTTTTTGAAACGCAAAACTACATTTTTATCCAAAAGGCTACAGTATATAGGATAATAAAAATGGGTTCTTTCTTCAAATCTAGAGGTACTGTGTATAAAAAATAATTAGGTTTTTGTGATTTAAAAATTATTTCAAAGTATTTTACAAACTAAATTGATAAAATTATTTGCTATGTCAAAATAAGACTATTAAAAATTGTATTGGCGGGGCTGTCAAATTTTTAAAATTTTTCTTAACTATTCCAGATTTTAGTTTTGGCTAAGCGAACTGCAGAAAGCTTCTGAAAGCTCAATTTTTTAAAGAAGCTCATATTTTCTATCATATCTCTTTGCAATTTTTAAACTACTTCTTGTTTTTGTTATTTTTTCGTGGAATTCAAGAACAGCTATTTATTATTTTTTCATAAATTGCATTCCCCCCTTATTTAAGCATGCAATCTTACTATCTGAATATGTATGTTTTAATTTTATGTTTTGTATGTATATGTATGTTTTATGTATATGTATATGCATGTTTTAATTTACAAGTTTTGTGATATTTTTTAGCTATTTCAAAAGCAAGAGAGAAATGCTGGCTCAAGTTATGACAATACTCATTTTTCTACAGCAATTACAAGTGATGAATTTCACCCTGAATCAATAGAACTTCCTCGAAGAGATTTTGCTCTAGATTTTATTGTATCTATAATCATTCCTACTGCAATTGTTGCCATAATTTCAACTGCCCTTACATGCATAATGTGTTGTAACAAGGAAGGAATGTAAGTTAATGTTATACTATTTTTTTTACTTAATATTTGCTATGATACACAATGCTTTAAAATTGTCTCTTCTGTACGTCTTCTCTATGTAAGCATTTTTGTCTAATCGCTGATTATTTGTTGTGGCAGAATTATTTATTTTATTAGGTTGGTGCAAAGATTTGATCATGCATGTCCTGTAATTTAGTACCAGGTTTGAATAAATCTTTTTAAACTATACAAACTTTAGTATATGGCCTGAATAAGCTTGGAACTCATTTAAGTTTTATAAAAAATTGGAATTTAAAAAAAAGCTTTCATGTTTGAAGTACAATCAAACCTTTGTATTACGAACTGCAAAAACACAAGTTCTTCAATATCACGAACTGCAATTACAATAGCATGAAAAATCTGAATTCCCTTCGCTTTTGTTATGTTGGTGATAGGAAAAATCTATTTTAACTGAATACATTTCTTAGTGACCCTCGATTTCACGAAATATTTCTGATCTCTAAATTTTTTTCCTGATTTTTGAAGAATTTTATTAGTAATTTATTGAGACCCTTATAATAAAGAGATTAATTTGTTAACAAGAAAATGCCTGATTTATCTATTCTGAAATAAGTGGACATGCAAGATGTACGTATAGATATCTGTCTGCTAATAATAAAAATATTTTTGATATGAATATTTTTGACTAAGTTGTGATAGAGAAGAATCATAAATATTATAGAGAGGTTAAGACATATGAGAGACTATGAACTGAAGGACTTCAGCAAAATATAAAATCAAGTACCGTATTTTTCGGCTAAAGTGCCGCTTCGTCGCAAGCGCCGCACCCCGATAAAAATTTAATTTTTAAAAAAAAAGTTATAGTAAGCACCGCTCCGGCGCAAGCACCGCTCCGGCGCAAGCGCCGCAATGGCGCTAAACCGCGCATATCAGCATCCTTTTAGATGAGACCTTTAAATTACCATTTAGAATATCTGTATAATAAAAAATTACATTATTTTATGCGTTTCATAAAGTAAAGTTTTAATTTCCAAATTATAATAAAAAATTTCTTTTTCAGCAAAAAAAAAAAAGCAACAAAAAAAGTTTTCTCTTTCAGCAAAACAAAGAAGAAAAAAAAAAGAAAGCAACAAAACTATATAAAATAAAGTTGTTCCGCAGTTGGCACCGCACAAACCAGTTGGCACTGCACCAAAAAACAGAAGAACAGCAAAAAAATATTTATATGTTCAGTAGCTGAATTAGTAAGGCTGATCTGATTACAGAAATCCGTAGAACAATGTCATAAGAAAAATAAAATAAAAATTTATTAAAAGAAAGATTTTAAAATTTATTACCATTAACAATTTGAGGAAAAACTAATACATAATAAAGAAACAGCTAATAATAACAAAATAAGAACTAACTAAGCAAGCCCCAAAATAATTCTGAAGGAATGAGCGAAGGGGAAATAAGTTTCACTTTCACAATCTTTGAGGGTAGAATTTTAGTGGGTAGAATGCCCTCTCCTTCAATGGAAATAACCTAATGTGACTCAACTTAGAAGGAGAGAAGAAAATGTTTAAAAGAGGGGTGTACCTCACCTCCTCCACGTGTCATTTCTATTGGAGCTGTTTAGGAGGAATCAATCAGTTAGGACTCCTAATCCAGCATTCCAAAATTCGGCACTTAATCTGATCTAATCTTTTTTTTTATTTTTTTTTTTTAGAAATTTATATTGATAAGACAAAAAAAATCAGCTATATTCTTTTTATTTGAAATTTTATTCTGTTGAAGTAACTTATTTTATCTTTTAAAAATGAAAAAGAAGCTTGAAAATAAAATAAAAAATCTGTGTCAAAGGAAACATCTGTTTCTAAAGCAGTTTAAAATAAAGTGAGAAGTAAGAACACCTGCATTTGCAATGAACAAAATAAAGAAATGGAAGTTGAAAAAAACTGATCAATCAATCTTGACAGCTGTGCTTGCACTTTACTGATTTGCCCCCAAATTTCCCTCCTCTGTTTGACTATAAATTGGCCACACCCAGTTAACATTGAAACTACCAGGTGGACAACAAAATGAATTCTATCCCTTTTGCGGTTTTTTATTCGATTCATTAATTTTTTTTATTTTTGCCGCTTTTTATTTTTTCTTGTTAATTGTTGCTTGCTTGTTTTTTTTTATCATTATTAGTTTTTAGCTTGTTTTTGTAATAGCCACCAAGGTAGATCGCTCATTCATTGTTAGTTTCTTAGCATTAATTGTTAAAAAAAAAATATATTTTTTGAACTTCCCTGTTAGCTTTTTTTCTTTTTCTTGCGAGTTTTTCTTGCGAGGTAAGCGTCTTTTGTTAAAACAAAATGTTATCTAAAAGAAAAAACTAGAACTATGATCTCACTCCAAAGAAGAAACGATTATTTCTTCTTCATAGGATTCTGATTATTTCTTCTTGATTATATTATATAGATTATTATTTTGATTAGTAAAATTTCTCTTAAGATGTGCCAGTTTTAAATTCACCCCATCATAATCTACGATCGAAACTTGACTAAATTTATTGGTTTTTCTGAAATTAACAGTGGAATTGAATTATAGTAATATTTAGGGACCATATTGGAATTTCCAAAAGAGATCCGAAGTTCGGCATTTCGTCAGTCCCGTGAGTGTCGGATTTAGGGTCCTATACTTCCTTTTCTGTTCGCTCAAATTACAATTGCCAAGGCGCTAAATAGATTTCTAGCTTGCGATTTTCCTTAAGCTGGGGGTGGATACAAGATGCATACCTTTTGAATTTTCTCCTTATGCGATGTTTTTTTTAAAATTATTATTTCGTTTATTTATTTTCTTACTGGCTGCTGCCGAAAGTTTGCTAAGAATTGGCGATGTTCTGCAGCAGATCGCGATACAGACGAATATTTCGTCGACTTCGGTATTAATTTTTTTGAATAGTCTTTCTGTCAGAAAATTAATAAAACTTTCATTGAAAAATTTTTTTGCTACTAAAAAATATTTAGTCGGAAACGGCGCTGCATCGGAAGCGCCGCATGTAGGAAAAAAACATCTTTTTTTTCGATAGCGCCGCGGCTCTTCCGCTGAAAAATACGGTAAAAGATATTAACATTGCATCATTACTTAGGGTTTATGTTATAGAAATGGGCATTTTATGTTGAGTGTCTTAGCAACACCCTCACTTATTGATTTGCCTTGACCAGCATATGTGCCTTGATTAAGAAACTTAAGGTGTTTTATCAAAATGAAAGGAAATCTATTTTTTTTATTGTAAGCCAATTTCCATCTTGTCAGAAGCAGGATGATATGATTTTTAGCCATAATTTAAATTTCTCTACCTTTTTAAAAATAGGCTTATATAGTAATAAAATAGTCTTGGAGCTATAATTTTGTGACTGCAAATTTTGATTTTTTTTAAACTTTCATTGTTTTTATTTTAAATATACTTAATTAGAAAATAAATATTGTTAGATTATGGCAGTATAATTTAAAGTTCTAAAGTGGAAAATATTAATAAAAGTTAGGAGCATTATAGTAATTTTATATTGTGTTTTATTGCAACTGTTTCTGAATTAAAATTTGGTAATAAAACATTTTGAGGTCGTTTTATAAAAAAAAATTAAATAATATAAAGAAAACAAAGTATAAGAGAAAGAAACATTGACATTTTCCCAAAATTTTTCATTTAAGTACCCAGAAAATTTGTTACATATATAAATAGAAAGTGGGTCAGAAGGAGAAAGTAGGACATTCCCACTCCCTTTGGATTTCTCGAATTTTTCAGTAATATATGATCTGCTGTAAGAAATGATCTGCCCAATACTTGAAAAAACTTTTTAATTTTCTTTAAGCATGTTAGGTGAAAGTGATAAGATTTTGATAATCATTATTGTTATTCATAATTTTTGCCTGGAAATGATATGTAATAAAAATAACAAATCATAAAGTGGATGGAGATGTAATCTTTCTTAATTTTGAACCTGAAGAATTAAGATTTGAATTAGAACCTGAGAAAAAAAGTTGTAAATTTAAAAAAAAGTTGTATTTTTAAATTTTGATTTCTCAGGAACTATTTAGCTCAAATCTTGTATTTTGCCATGTAAAATTGAATCAATGAGACTGAAAACTAGTCGTCCCCACTTTTTTAAAAAAATTATATTTTTGCATTTTTAAGTTCAGTTGATGGAGATACATAGTTAGGAAATATGAAAAAATTCACGTCCTGTTACTTAGTATAGTATATTACGTGCAGTGAATCTTCAATTTAATTGGAAAACATGCCATATCCTTGGAAATATATCACCAGGTGGCTGCTGTTATTACATATGAAACTATTTGTAAATGTAACAATTAATTATTTAGTTTAGGCTAGTTATTTTGTTGATCCTTTTTGTCATATAATGAGTGATCCACAGTTAGTTCTTTAGATAGTATATGCCAAAAAATAAATAAATAAAGTAAAGAGGCATAAAAGTAACTATGAAGCATTAAGGAGATGACTACAAATACTTTATTTCAATTATAAATAATATGATACTTGTTTTCAAAAGCTGGTTGCTGGGGCATTATAAGATAAGTGTGTTATCAAAATGCTTCTATAGAAAAGCAAGAAATGAGAAACTACAGTTTCAGGTGTCATAGTAAGTTTACTTATAAAAACACTACGCCTGGTGAAATTGATATCTCCTTTCAGTGGTGGTTTATACAAATGAATACTTAATGTGTTTAAAAAAATTACCCTAAATGTGGCACCATAACCAGTTATTGAAGCATATTTTGCAGCACAGATAGTCATAATCCAAAAGAGTTCTGAAACTACACAAATATCCATGAATATATAGTCTAAGACTTAGAAACAACCGTTATTTCCTTTTTAATGACAAATTATTAATATTTTTGCTTGTATTAAATAATGTATAGTATTCACTTGACGGTTTTGTCTGAAAATGATCATTTCCAAGTTCTAATTATTTTTTTAAAAAATTAAGTAATGTTATTGCACAATTGCAATAGAATATTTTGTAATCGGCTATATTTTAGCAGCAAAAAAAAGCTCTATTTATCAAGCTGATACTTAACTATTCAGTTTTTGTCTCTCCTGTAAAATTAGTTTTGTTGGAGACAACCAGTTTTTGAACTCATTGATTCGATTGCATTCTTTAAAATGATGTAAAAGATTTTAAACCTGATTGTTGAAACTTTTTTGATTATTATTAAATAAAATAATGAAAACTTATCACAAATTATATTTTGCTTGGAATGATCATTGGAAAAACAAATTTTATAATTGTGTGCAAAAATGTTTCAATTCGCTAGAAAAGTTCTTTAGATGAGGCAAAATATACAAAAAGTGAAATTAACATAAGGGGGTGCAAACTATTGGGACCATATTTCTTTGATCAAAAATCTGAATTTGTGGAAATAAAGGTATGTTTGTTCAGAGAAAATATGTTTTTTTTTGTCTGATTTCGTAACTGAAAATATCTGCACTAATTAATAAGCATATTTGAGGTCATCCCCTTAAACATTAAGATTATGGGTGGTCCGTTAATTTTTTTTGCACACTGTATATTTAATAACTCAAATCAGTGAGTTTTGTATTTATTATTGTTGTACAAAAAATTAAAGTTTTTATAAATTGTTTAATTTTTTTAAAATTATTTTCAGAGATCAGAAGTGTGATGTCACTAGGTAAAGTTCTTTATGTATTTCTTTCCATTTAACTTTCTTACAGCAAAAAACATTGAGTGCTTTAAATTTTCTTTAATATTTGTATTTGTTTATTTTTATAAAATTTGAGATTCAGTAGTAATGTATTGTGAACATGTGCAAAAAATATCGTTTAAATGAGTCCTCATTACTTAATAAAATATTATTTAAGAGCATAAATAACAGTTATGAAATCATGAAAGATTAAAATAAAGTGCTTTTAAATAAGTTCACTGAAAGAAACAATTGAAGCATTATTACATACCTTTCTCTTTGCATTGCTGTTTTATTTTAATCATAATGATGCCACCAAAGGAAGTAGAATAATAATCTGAAGAATATTTGGCATCTCCTCACAGATAATTATTATCATTACAGTTTGATAATATTATTGATTTGTGTATTTTTCTTGAAAATTTTAATTTTTGTGATAACACAACTTGTAAATCTCTCTAACTATATCTGCCATTTTTAATGTACTTTGCAAATTTATGCCTTTTATTTATTTTTGGATTTATAAATTTACTTTAAAATGATTTTAACCACCATACTTCTAATAAATAATTTAAAGGTATGGCAATATTTAATGGTAATATTAAATATTTATGGTAATATTAAAGGTAAATATTTAAATAAAGGATTATCGTATCATGGGGTATTTAAGATCTTACAAAATAGCATATTTCTGCCTATTATTGTAATTCAATTTTAATTTTACAATCACCACTGGGAAAAATCATCCCCAGAAAGATTTAAAGTTGGCAGATATGAATAATAAATATTTTCATTATTTATTGAAACAATGAATTCAATTATATTCACATTCTACTACATTTAAAAAAGTAATATTGCCTGCTGAAATTTATGTTGTACCATTTTATCTCGAAATTTTCAGGTTATTTTTTCACACATTATAAATTTAGTGATCTTTTTTTCTTTGCTAACAGTATGCAACTGGATCATTACAATTCAATTCAGCATGCATCAAGTGATATTCATCGATTAACAGTAAAACAAGACAGTTTGCAGTGTGCAGGCTCTACACCAGAATCTTCTTTCCCTTGTTCTCACACTGATAGCCCATCTTCTACCCTACCCAAAGGATTTACATTGAGGTATTATATAAGTTTGTTTTTTAAAAGTGGTATTTTATTTACAAAACAAAGGGTTAAGTTTCTTTTAATCTTTTTTTAAAAATGTTTTTAAAGAACTCATAAACAATTAATTAATATTGTTCTTAATTTGATATTTACCCTGTTCACGAAATTTTTGTTCCTGAATCTTTTCTGGTGATTTTTTTCTATTTACGAAAATTGTTTTTGAATGAATTATCACCAGTTATGTTTTATTTTATGAATTATCTTAGTATTTCAATACTTCAATTATTTCAAATTACTGAGATATATAAGGTATACCATAAATATTTGTACAAAATTTAAGAAAAGTTAGGTGACTTCAAAATGTCGAAGATTCACGTTGAATCCATTATTAGAAATTTCATTGTATGCCGATAGGTGGTGCTATTCAGAGCGTTGAAGGGAAAATTTCTGTTTTTCACAATAGTTCCAGCAATAGTGATGAGACCATGAAACATTAGTGAACAGTAAGTTGGCAGATCTTCAATATGTGTTCAGATTGGCTGATAGCAATGCATGAGTGGCTCAAAAATTGTATTAAGAACAGGTCATACCCAGAAACGTATTGAACCATAAGATTTGTGCAAATGTGCATCACAATTTAAGTAGATATAGAAAGTAGCATAATAGTTAGAATAATAGTAAGAGCTATGTAATAGTAGAAATTGAAAAGGCAGGCAATAAGTGACCATGAAATCGAATGTGATGTCTGCTGTAGAAGGCAAACCTAGTACCAGCATACATGCTAGACTGACTGCTGTAGCTGAATCACGAAATGGGGTACACTGTGTTTTGCAAGGCAAAGATGTTCAAATCCAGAAAATCAGCAAATTATCTCGTCTTTTTAGAAGAGCTTCTACAAAGCATATTTCATTATGTGAATATGTGGTTTCAAGATGAGAGGGCACCAGCCCATTGTGGACATATTTGAATGTCTCTTTTGGGCACTGATGAATTAGGTATGGTGGACCTGTTAAATGGCCCCCCACACTCTCCTGATTTAAGCAGTATGGGTTTCTTTCTGTAATGAGCACTTAAAGCTGTTTTGCATGCAGCACTAGACGAGTCCAAAATAGGTGTTGTAAAATGTTGTGCAACTGCAGTAGCTAAGTCATGTTACATTTATTTTTATTAAAAACTTAGTATGATAAATTTGTCATGAATAAAAAACAAGTAAAATAATAAATAAAATATGAAGTTAAAATAGGAAAAACATTGTTTTTAATTTATTAATCTTACATAACTAGCATCTGGATAAAGATAACAATTCAATAATGTAAAATTAGACTAAAATGCAGCGAAGGAGATCGAAATATTTTTTTACTAAACATTCAATATTTTTTACTGTTCAATTATTTTTCTAAGATGTATAGGTGGATGATTGTATAACAAGTTTCCTTTACTGACTTTTTAATTGGCTTAAATTAAAATAAAATTTGAAACACATTCTTAATAATTTCTACTTTTTTTCTTCATAGAATGAATTTAAAGATTTTATTTTATAATTATTGTCTTCAAGTTCTGTCTTTTTATGAATCTTTTTTTCTTAATAATTTTTTGTGGTGCATTAACATTAACTTGGGTCCCTTCTCTTTCACTAAACAATTTATTTTCTTAACATTACTGCTGCTTTTAAAACACTGCTGAACTTTTTTTTATTCAAAATCATTAACATGACTTTATTATTCAATAAAGTCTGTCTACACTGTAAAAATAAGCTTTTGTTGAGGACTTTAAATTAATCGACACCATATTGAATCTGGAAACGAACTATTATGTTGTTTTAATTTTAACTGTGAAAATAAAGGTAGTGATCATGAAAATAAGAGCACAATGACTTTTGGCATCGGAGTAAAAAAAATTTTAGTGGATCATTTTTGGCGATTAAATTTCTGCATTTCTTGGGATATATAAGCAAACAAATTCTTGCTTCATACTTTCAAATTTTTGTACATTTAACATGCTATTATAGCATATCAGCAATAACTCTGTAATTATGTGAAAAAATTAGAAAAGATTGTATTAAGTATTATTTATTATTCTGTTATTATTAAAAATTTAAAAGTACTTCTTACAAATATGAATCAAAGTGAAGTAAGAACTCAGACATTTACTAAATTAAAGTGTATAAATAATATAGAGAATGTATCTAGAGCTATTGAGTCAGTGCAAAATAAATGTCTAATGTGGAATACCTTTGTGATTGACCCCTGATTAACAGATAACTTAATCGACTACTCTTTTGTTTTATGCTGTAGAAATACTATCAGTAGCTATCAAACATCAGCAAAATACAAATTCTTGAATTATTTGTTTTGCCGAAAAAAAATTTCGAAATTGTTATAATAGTTATTTTTCTTTCGTTTTTTATATGGATTTCAAATGAGACATTCTGCTGCAATTACTACTTAAAAAAATGCTTGAAAAACACAATATTAAAGGTGAATATCTATCAACAAACTTTTAGAGATGGTTTAAAAATTTTTAATATTAAAGATATAGACCTGAAAAATAAACCATGTTGTCACCAACAAGTTTCATTCTTTGCTGGTGGACAATTTAAGTATTTTGAATTTAAACCTAAAAAAAATAGATCCTGAAATAGTGACTAAGCCAGGTAATTGGTGATGGGCACATAACTGTCTTTAGTAAACAAGTATGAAATACTCTTGCAAGATAAAACAGCTTTCATATTTCACACAATAAATGATTTTAACATTACATGAAATGAGCTATGAAGCAAAGGCCTCTTGGGACATGGCATACACCCCTTTACTATTTCCAGGTAAAGATTGCAAGTTATAAATTAATTTAGTGAATAAGCTAGAAAATCCTCACTCTTGTAATTTCATCTAAACAATTTAAGGGGTTGTCTTTATTTTTATTTTTAATTTTGGTGTTAAAAAGAGAGCAGCGATATGATGATAAGCAATAGAATGATGTGATATACAATAATTACCACAAATTTCAAATAATTGCTATAAAACCATATAATCAACCAAAGTTTTTTTTTAATATTTGTTATTCATTTTATTTATTATTTTCTCTTTAGGTTGCATGTTAAGTTTAGGCAATTGAAAAGGAAGTAATTTTTCAAACAATCAGGATGGAAAATAATTGTATTTCATTATAGCTGCCACTAGACTTTGCATGGTTATTGACAAAACATTTTGCAGAGCTTTTAAATATTCTCTTTTTGCAGGCTGCCTAGGAAAATGGATAACTTAGGATCTCATTAGATTTACACCTAGTTAAGTAAAAGGTATGATTTTTTTTAATCATAAGAACAGACAGCTTAAGCATTTTTTCTATTAGCATTATTACTATTTTTAATTTCATTTTCAAATTTTTGTATAATCCTTTCCTTTTTTTATCGATAACACATCAGACACAGAATCTTAATAGTTGAAAAACTTTAGGTTTAGGAGCCCCACTTACATTTTTTTTTAATGGCGGGCACTTGAAACTATTGTCCATTGGCCACAGAAAGTGCCAGAACTGCCAACTCTCTTTTCGTTGCCCAGTGGGCAGCCACGGCGGTGGAGCAGCGTCACCCACGTCACACTACCACAACCCGTCTATAGGGTGGGTCACATTCACACACTAAGGAGAAAGGACATAGAATACAAATAGAGAGAAAGAAACATCCATGCCTTGCCCGGGATTTGAACCCAGAACCTTTCTGATGCAAGGACAGTTCCTTGCCCCCTACACAGGCCGGTCAGCGCCTCACTTAAATAAACTTGTCAAAATATTCTTATTTTCTAATTCGATGATTTTGACATTAGTGAATATAAATTTGGAGGCTACTGCATACAAGAACAGCGTCTAGACCTTAAATTATTGCTTCTTTCTGTATGGTTGAAATGGAATACAATTTATCAAAAGTTCAACATCAATTAGTAAATTTGAAAACGAATGAAAAATTATTAGTGGTAAAATATTTTTGAGCTTTCCTACTAACTTTTATTCTTATTGAGAATGTTTTTTTTAATGCTAATAAAATGGCGATTGAATTTTAGAAGTTGTAGTCATGTTTTCAAGCATTCATAAGTCTGTTTAATATATTTAGATGTAATGATGGTCAATGTCATATTAAAATAAATTTATAAATTAGAGAAATAAATAAAGAAGCATAAATTTTCTATAATTTTAAATTGAAAATAAAATCTTTCAGAAGATCTGAAAAAAATTGGCAGCTGTTATATGGGTATCAATTGTATTGGGCTCTATAAGTTTCTAGAAATGTGTGCACTGGGCTCAGATTCTCTTCCTCAAATGATGTTTCTATGTCTCATTTAAGTAGTTTAGAAAGTTATTATTTTAATATTCAAAGCATTTATTTTATTACTTGTTAATATCTTTGTTATTATTGTTGACTTAAGACTAATTTCACCATCTATGTAGTTTCCTAAGAAAAGCAAATTTTCCTATTAGAAATTTTTTTTTGATTACCTAAATGGTTTTTTAATTCTGTGATGCTGTGATTTGAGTTTAAGAAATCATTGTTTGGTAGGAGATATGAGGGATGGCTGGCATTCAACTCATTTCTACTACAATGACCAATAAGAACTAGTACTGTTAAAGCATCTTTACTATTTAGTCATTTCATACCAGAAATGTTTTTTAATCACTTAAAGTTTTTATTGCTCTGTGAAGCATTGAACTATGTCTATGTATTTTGAATTTAGTGCATTAAAAAAGTTGACACTTCCAGTGTCATGGTGAATAACTTCATTCAGAGTATTGTTTTCCCTAAAATACATTTGTATTTTAGATTGTTTAACATAGCTTGCTGTAACAAATTTTAAAGAAGTAGTGAGAAAACAGCAAGGTTGACACCAAGGTTGGACATAATGTTTTAAATCAATAACGGTGTTCTTAGTCATAAGCAAAAATTTACTCATTAATATCAATAAAACGAGGAAACCAGATTTATCCGCATTCTATGTTGCTTAACTACCATTAACACTTATAGTATTTCTTGTAACTGGGTAATTTTTTTGAGCGAAAAAATTATTTAAAAAAAGTAAGCCAATTTTTTTTATGTAACTTACATGTAAAATGAAGTAGGTTTTTGAATTTGGACGCTCAATTAGAGCTTGCATGAAAGTGAGGCAATTGGTTTCAAATCCAAGAGCTCAGTTCATTTTCAAAAAATGTAATAGATGAGAAAATATTTCGCTCAATTTGGTATTTGTATTTAGATTCAGTTTTAGTAGCATTTTTAGCAAGGATTGATGTACATATTAATGAAAAAATTAATTTATTTTGAAGAAATTTTTTTATAAATTCAAAATTATTTAGGACATTAAAAGAAACAATTAAAAGGACAAGAAGTAACTGTTTTAGATTAGAATTGCACAATGCAGATTTAAGTAATAGTTAAAGGGACTTTTATAAACTAAAAAAATAATAATAATTAAAAATTGTTGAGTTTTTTTTATAACTTCAATCTTCAATACTGTGCTCAGTAAAAAGAAATTATTAAAAATTAATACAAAAAAAATCATATTACAACTAAATCCATTGATGTAAATTGCAGTGTAATTGTTTAGAGTGAATTGCTTTTAGTTTTATTTGTGAAGTATTGCCGTTTTCACAGTTGTTTTATTTTTTTCTTTTAATTCTTAATTAAAAAAATCAATTAATTCAAGTTTATTCCAACCATAAGGAAATATTTATCATTATTATATATAAAATTGTGTTTTCTTCTTTTTGTGTAATCAATAGAAATTGTATTATTTCAATGCTAACTGATGTAATTATCTGTAATATTTGAAGGAAAAACTTCAACTTAACTTGAAACTGATTAAAGGATTTTGTCGCTTTGATAAAAGGAGAGAGTTTTCATGTTGCTTTCTTGTAATAATACAAAACAAAAGAAATAAGGATGTTTAAATGCTACTTGCTATAGGTTTTGCTAATTTTCACTAACTTCTATGGAAAAAAACTTGAAACTGAATAGCTATAAAACAATTAAAGGATTCGGTTGCTTTTAGTATAGGAGAAAGTTTTCTTGTGTGAATATCTTCGATAAATTTGCTATTGTCTGCTTTAAAGATGCATGAGACATTTATGCTAGTTTAATTCAATATATTTTGCCTGCATTCAAAGATGTGCCTACCCAAAAGTAAACCACTATAGTTATAAACGTTTTCACAATGTGATTTTAATGTGTAAGACTTTTCAGGTGAAAATTAATGTTAGTTCATATAAAACTCTAAATTTTACTTTATTTTGACTCATTATCAGTATTCATATTATTGAATAGCCTACTTAAAAGGTAAAATTTATTCCATGAGCAAAAAAAAATAAATACTTTTTTTAAAAAATAGAAAGATTAAGTAGCTTACAAATATTTGCAAAACAATCTTTGGGGTAGATAATCAATTTCTATTCAAAACGTTTTTTAAACGAAAAACATTTTTAATTACTAATTAATTTTGTAACGAAATAAAATAAATATTTATTTTTTAGTGCATAAATTGCCTTAGTTTTTTTTTATGATTGTGAATACTTAATGACACTTTTAATTAAGACCATTGAAATCATTAAATTTATTTAACTTAAAGACGAAAGCAAAGTAATTTTTAATATGTTCACATTTTAGTCATTTTAAAATAAAACTCAAAAATAATGTATAAAACAGCAAACCAGAGACTTATTCCTTTGTGATTTTAACCCTTTTAAACAATAAAAATTATTTTTATAGAAAAAAAAAAGAAAAATAATTACTAATCTGAACCCTTTATCAAATGAAATTACACATTGAAATTCAACAACTACTTATTCAGTATTAACAATTCTAAAAAAGCACTAACTATCTAATCTATTTTCTTAAAATATAATGGAGCTTAATTTGTTCTTTGCAATAGCTAACAATGAGTGAACACAAAATTTACGTGACTTCTTGATACAGTAGGACACATATACAGAGAGGGACTAAGGAAAAAAAGTTCTTTCAATCCAGTTGCTTGCTAAATCCAAATTCACTTTTCTTTTCGACATTTGAAACACCTAAATAAAAAGCCCATTCTCAAGAAAAAGGTAAATGCCAAGACTGAGCTTTACTTACATGTGACTCTAAAAGCAGAAATTATTTTATAATCAGGTACTACTTTGGAGATAATTGAAATTCTCAAAATTCTCTCCTTATCTTCTGGAATGAGACAATAGACTTATCTGGTTTCTAGTCTCTCTGGTATTTTCCCTCTCTCTGAAGATTGCAATAGTTGTCGATAACTTTGAAAAATGATTCAACTATTTCTAAATGACACGGAAACATATTTCAGAGTAATTATGTTCCAAACTATTTTTGATTCTAAATAATTAATAGTGTTTTGTTTCTTTTTTTAATAGTGTCATTATTTCTGATCATTTTTCATGCTTCCAAAATTATTTCCTTTGTTAATTCTGAGAAAATGTGAAGAAATTGTTGGCTAAAAGAATACATTTTATCAACAAAAAAAAGTTCTGTTTTGCTTCTTAACCCGAAATTTCGTTATAAGTGCGTTCTACCGTAGTAAATAATAAACAAAAGTAAGAGAAGAAAAACATGAAATCAAGCTTTTTTTATTTATACAATTACAATTTAATTATACTTTCAAATTACAAACCACACCCTCAGAACACATTTAAACTAATTCATTCCATAAAAATCAAATCAGGTCTAGTTATATTCTATGTTGGTAAGCTGGTAATAATACCTACATAATTTCACATCACTATACTCACAATACTTTCAAAGAGTTTATTTCACTTTATAGGTCTAAAAACATTAAATTGCTGTATCAATTTAAAATACAAATTAGACAGTCAGGATAATACTAGGAACTTGGTTATCAGAATTATGATTCAGGTTTTAGATACCCGTGCTCCTATTTTTCAGTAAAAGTTTGCTAATATTGCTTTCATTTTTAAACCTGAATTAGAAATTTTAATAAAAACTTTCATAGGACTTGATACAATGACCCCCTTCCCCCCACCATAGCTTAGTCAAAGTTTAGTGAAAAATAGAACAAGCTTACTGTTTTTTACCTGACATGCACATAACATGTGCACAACTTAAGACATCTCTTTATTGTATTCTATATGGTAAAAATGTAAAATTGTGCTGCTATATGATAAAAATGTATGTTGTCATTTTATCACATTTAATATTGTGAGAAATGTCTAGCTTTATTTTAATAGAGAACAACACAGAAAAAATCCTTTTTTTTTTAAAAAAATTTCAAATAATTTAGTAGTATGTGCATTTAAGAACATTGTTCAATAAGTATAAGTTGAAATTTAATTCATTTAAATTAATTTCTATCTAAATGCTTCTAAAATATCAAAATCAATTTTTTACACTATTTTTAAACCATTGATTATTTATTTTATTTATTTATTATTATTATTTTTTGATAATGAGCAAATTTCTATTATATTTTAATTTGTAGACATTATTAATTCATAATTAATCTTTTTTTAAATTATTATTTCTAAGAAATTGTAACAAAAATGTTTTAGTTTTGAACATAATTATTTAAAAAACTAAAGCATTTAATTTAGTATTATGATAAAATAACATCATTTTATTATGCAGTATAAATTTAAATTGAAAAATATCAGGTCAATTTATGGTACAATAAGCTGTAAAAAATCTCTTCGTTGTTTATCTTTTATAAAAGTTTACCCACTGAATGCTTCTTTTCAACTTTAAGATTATGAGCTTCGAAAACCATAATGCGTTTTAACAGGCATTTTGATTATTAATTATAAATTTTTCTCTTTTAATTTGTATACTGACATGTATTACAATTGTGTCAAGACATTCCAATTTGAAATGCTCACTTAATTATAACACTTTTTTTTTCTTTCCCCCAAGCCCTGAGCATGTACCTAGGTTATGAAAACCCTAATTATAACACTACCTGCATTGTAAATATGAAAAATCATAAAATTTAAGGTACTTGTGCATTTCAAAGGAAATAAATTCATCTCGACTATTATTGATGCCAGTAATGTTTAATTATTTGTTAAGTGCAAATGCAACTTACTTATTTTGAACAAGTTTTTAAAAAAATTTATGATATTAATAAATGATCAGAGAAACAATTAATTTCTATCAAAATGCATTTAAATTATCAAAGAAGCTGTTTTCCCTGCTTTTAACTTATTGGCAATTTTTCCAATAAATGCATTTCAATTATAATATGAATTTTGAATGATAATGATTTGTAATAATAATTTTTTTCTTTTATAAATAACTATTAATATAAGAAATTTATTATAAAAATATTTTTTTAGTTTATAATATAATGGTTGTAATAAATAAAGTGAATAAGTATTTAATTAATATTGTAATTGCATTAACTCAGTCTTGAGATTATATTTAGTACTTTAAAATAGTTTATTAAAAATATGGGAACTAAATTTGGGTTGAAATCATTAGTTATCAAAAGCATTATTAAACATATATATATTAGTAAATAAGTCTTAATTAAGTAACATAATTTAACTTAGAATTCAATTAAGAAGGATCTTAAAAAGAGTCATCTAACGTCATCAAAACATTATTTATATCCAATGTGAATAATGTTTTTTTTGTGGCAAGTAATGATTTGCAAAAACCAACTGTGTTTAGTTTTGCTTATTATATTCAGGTAATTTCTTTTACAATCAATTTGTTCAAAGCTAATAATGCAACTTATACAACTCTAGTTAAGTTCAGCCTTGACCTAGAAATAGATGTTGTAAGTGTCCAATTTTTGAGGGGAAATTTTGAAATAGCTCTCTTAATTTCACCCTTAAAAAAAATCATTGTTCTAAATATCTGCAAAAAGATCTATTTCTCTTTTGATATTTAACTTACCAGAAATCATATTGATGAGGATTCATGAAAACTTAGGTAAAAAATATATATTAGTGAAATTATATATAATATACATCTGAAATATTAGAGAGGACTCCTAGAGATTTTTAATTATTGAAGGGATCATGTACCCCCTGCCAATGATGCCTATGTGCCTGGTATTAGACGCAAAAGTAAGCATACTCAAGCTTGAGTATAGGAATTATGATGTGTGTTTTAAGTTGTTGTTTATATATGGGTCATTCTCATGAAAACTGTCATTTTTCAGTTCATAAAATCCCAAAAAAGTAAAGTGAATAAAAAGCTCTGAAACTTTTTATATTGATAGAAATATGTAATGGCATTATAAAGAAAGTATATATCCTATAAATTATACTTAATATTTAAATTAATTAATTTTTTAAATAATTAATTTATAATTAATTAATTTATAATAATTATTAATTAATTAATTAATTTAATAAATAAATTAATTAATTTAATAAATTAATTTATTAATTTTTTAATTTATTTTTCAAATTAATTAATAAGTAAATTAATTATTTTCACTATTTAAAAAGTGAGGGAATGACACTAATAGTGAGGGAATGATATTTTATTTTAATACATGTTTTTATCTAAGTTACATCTACCTAAAGTTTGAAAATGATAACATACTAAGTATATCTAATATTTATTATAATTTAGTCTTATATATTTAATAGTTTTTACAGGTTTGGGAAATAAAATTGGCTGGCACGATTGAACAAAAAAAAATTTGATAATATACTCATCTTGAATCATTCCCTCACTTCAGCGTCATTCCCTCACTTTATACACTAGTGAGGGAATGACGAATTCAATAAAATTTAAAAATAACAGTTAGGCCTAATTAATTTCTGAAGTCAATCACATACAATTATATTCATACAAGAAAGCAACATATAATTATCCACTTTCTCGATGAAGTTGTATTTTATTTTACTCTAAAAAATGACATGAGGGAATGACAAATGTAAAAAATTTTACCTGGTTTGATTCATTCAAATTTATTCCACAGCAAAGCTTCTTTAAGTTGAAGATGGAAACATACTGCAATTTTGTTCTATGATGCCAGTTGTTAACTTCTGAAGTTTTTATTAAAATATTTTTATTCTAAGAAGATTGCAGGTGATAAGAACATTGTTGTGAGGGAATGACGCGAAACACTGGGGACAAAGTTTAAAATAGTGCTGTGTTAATATTTTTATCAGAAATTAAATTTAAAATTGATTTTCTGAATTCTATATTTCAGTATTCTGAAATAAAAAACACGAATTTGTAAAAAAAAAATTTTTATTTCAGAAACAATTTTTTTCTTTTTTTAAATCAGCAGTGGGGACAAGTGAGGGAATGACATATTGGTATATTTTAATTACCTAAAATAAATAAAAAATAAAAATTGATAATTTTATTTTTATTCTTTTGTTAGCTTGCATTCTGAAGGACACTTTCCCTGAATTTTTTTTCTTTGTAAGCTGTAAAACAAACGTAAAATATACTGGGGACATGAAAATGACTGTTTTTGTGAGAATGACCCATATATACTAGTTATTTAGAACACATTCTTCATTGAATTGCTATTATTAAGTAGAATGTTATTAACAAGAATGATCCGACACAAAATTATTAGTGAAATTATACTCCTTTATTTTAAGAATTTTCAAAACAATAAATTTTCTTTTTTAGCACAGGCTCCAATCGTAATATTACACCATGTCCATAATGAATGGGAAAATATATTAAAGGTACTTTTTTTTATAGTTTTGAAATTTTTCATCTTTATAAGAGTGATATTTATTTTAATCCTTTTTGTTTACTTAATACATTGCAGGACACTCCTAGTTATTATTGAGTCTTTGACAGTGTATTAAGTTCTACAGTACTCAGTGGATACTGCTATTTTACTGTTCTGTAGAATCCTTATCAACCCAATCTTTACTATTATAATATTTTAGTTTGTAATCAAGTTTGATATTTGTAAAAATTTCCTTCCTTATCAAAGTAATTTTCCTCTCTATTTGTTATTCTGATGTTAAAAATTGATTTACTCAATATATAAATCAGTTTTTGAAAAAAGTTTGCTAAAAAGTACCTGGAACTTGTTCTATATATATATATATATATGTATATATCCTGTGTTGATGTATACTACTGTATTAATAAAATAGGAAGAAATGAAGAGCTTAGTTAAATGTATTTACTGACTTTGTAAAAGCATTTTATTATAAGTATAGAATAAGCAACTTTCTGATTTTTTTTAAACACTCTGTTAATTATACCTAATATATTTTTTATTAAATATTGTTTAAACTTTTCTTCCTCTTAATTTGTTTATTTTTTAATAAATAACAGTTTTTTAATGCATTTAACCCTCCAAGCATAGTTTTTCTGAGCAAACTTTTTCTTGGTATGTACTACTTATTCATAGAATAACATGTTGTAGCAAAGCAATTAGATTGAAGTGTGTATGAAGCTAAGAATAATGCTCAGATATTTAATAAAATGTAAACAAGCATATGACTGACATTGTATGATTAATGTACCCTTGAAATAATATATTTAATGGTATATTTTTCTCAAAGTAATTACAATTTGAATAATAGTTTAATAATAACTTTTTATGCAAACAAGTTTTCAATTCTTTTTTTTTTAAATTGCTAATGATTAAAATGTTAATTCTTAAATTATGTATTTGAGTTTTACTTCATATTTCTTAACCAACAAAAAGTCTTTTGCTGAAAATAATTTTTCACGCACATAATTTTCAATATATAATTATGTGCGTGTTGTAAGAAATTCCCAGTATTTGACACAGAAGCTACTAATGAAGAAAATAAAATGCAAGTATTAATTGATTCAATGACTTAGTCTACCATATTCTGATTAGTTTAAAATTTAAGCTTTTATTTACTTATGAAATAGAGTAATTCTCAGCCTTGCCCTAAAATTTTCCTATTGCCACAGAGCACGCCTATTTCTAATTTGACATAAAAATTCTCACCAAACCTTTATTTCTGAATTTGCATGTCTCTGGGTCAAATTTTATTCTAGGTTTATTAGTTTGCTTTCCTCTTTAAAAATGATATTTTTGTAATTTTGACTATGATTGATAATTAAAATGTTCTCAAATGAGGATATTGTTGATTTGCATTTGATTGAGGATTAATGTGACAAAAACACAAGTGCTGTAGGCAGCATTAGGGTTATGACAGTGATTCCCAACCTATATTGAGTCATAACCCCCCCCCCCACCCAGAAAAAAAAATTTTTTTTTTCAAAACATATATTTATTCTATATGTCTGACATTGATTATTTCATTAACATGTTTTAAAAATTAAACTGCGAAAGCATAGAAAATAACTATGTGCTAATACTTTCACAGTTTTTTATATTGACAAACTAATTATTTAAAAAAAATGAATGTGACAATTATTAGAATAAAAGCATTTGTATAGCAATCCAGTGCATTATTCCCAACTTTTTCTTTAATAGAATGTTTTTTTTAAACTATTTCTTGAACACATGGCTTTACATTGGAAAAAGCAAAATGCAGGCCACTATCTACTTCCTTTGAGTTGTTTTTAATTAAAAATGTAATTTAGAAACCTGGATTGCAAAGATAAGTTGAGACAAATGAAAACAATCCCCTGATTGCTCTTCTTACCATTTATGGATAAGACTTGCAAATTGAAGACAAAAATTCCTGTGCCTGATTTCACTACAAACATGCCTTGCTTGAGAATAATTTTTTTTCCATGAAATTAATCTTGCAAAACATCAAGGTTTTTTTTAAAAATTCACATCTAAATAGATTTCAAACTGAAATCAACTTCTCAAAAGAGAACTCAAGAAAGCAAACCCTAAATTCATTTTCTTAATATAGAGGAGATCTGCATTAGAAACCAAGTTTAATCAGACTGAATTCATTCCCACTACAGAGGAATTTTCTTGTTTATATACCACTGATTGATGATATTTTAATCAGAAGGCCGATTTATTCAAATTAAGGAATATATATTAGATGCATAATACCAAAGTATGTGTTGTTTCACAAGAACAATTTAAAAAGTGAATGCAACAAACATGCACACATTTTTATAGAATTTTTATCCCTGTAACAACTACCATTTTTGCTTTAATTCTCAATGATATGTTGCTTATCCGTCTAAATCACAAAAGGGATTTAGTATAAGCGTAGAATCATATCTCTTTGGTATAACAGTCATTGGACCCCTGCCAAATGGTTTAAATTGTAGAAAATAACTAAATTTTTCTTAAAGTAATGTTCCTAGAATTATAAAATAAAAATGATTGTTTTTTTCAGTCTGACTCTTGTCATTTCTCCTTCATATTATACAAGAAATGTGCCGACACATTTGAATCTCAAATTTTCCAATCAATGGGTTAGAAAATAGGAATATGTTAAGTGGCTACTGTGATCTCCAGATATTACCCCTCTCGATTTTTTTTTCTCTCTGGGCCATTTGGGTGTGAACGATAAAAAAAAACACTAGCTGATCTATCCAGGAGATTTAACTACAAAATCTCATGTTGCACTTTCCACTGTCAATATTGACTTATTGCAAGATGGTTAAAGACTCAATCTTGAAATGTGGGTGTTCATTAATCTGTTAAAGCTGTGGGTGTTCAAGCTTACTTCGATTTAATGGTAAAATCAACCTTCATTAATAATGTATTATTTTGTATAACATAATTTCTTATTTGTCAATTTTTGTTTCACTTACCCAAAAAAAATTGCAAATCAGAAGGCCAATAAATGCAAGGTTAATAACAGCATTTGTAGTAATTAAGTTATGTGCCATGTGTTTTCTTTAAAGTTTACAAATTAAATTAATAGTTTTTAAAAATAGAAATTACACTAAAGAATTATTTGTGATTCTTCAGTATGAAGATAATCTAAAAATATAAATTAAGATTAGTCTTTACAGAACATATACCAATTATTGATTCTTATAGAATGTGAGAAGAAAACGGCAATTTTTTTATGTTCCTCTCCAAAATTAAGAATATTTTTTTCCTTGAAAGCATGTTTTTTGTTATACTTTGTATGATATATGAATATACATGAGTTTAAAGGATTTATGTTCTTTAGTTTTCTTTTTTAAGCATGAGATTAAACTATGCTTAGAAGTCTTTTAAACATAAGATTTTTCTCTAATGAAATAATTCATAACTAATAGTGTTCGAAGAATTTCCAAAAATTAAATGTGTATATATATATATATATATATATATGTATACATATATAGTCTGCTTTAAAACTATTGACATTAATTTAAAATATCAAACAGATAAGTGCTTGATTCTTCCAATATTGTTGTTTTTATATTATATCAGTTTTTCAGGGTTACTTTATTTATTTATATCTTTGAATTTCCTTGTACATGTATATTAATTCATAAAGATGTTTTGTCATCAATGGAGAACTTATCAGACTGTTGAAGTATCACAAAAATATCAAAGTAGTTTTATACTTTTGTGACATGTAAGATATTTATATCACTTGTTTTATTCACTATATATTATTTTATATAATGTAATTTTGTATTTCAACTTAAATATTGATCAGTGTTTTTAGATTGACCTCCAGTAACTCATAATTTTCATTTTTGTCTTTCCATTTTACTTAAAAAGATTTCTGAGGCTGATTAAAATATTTGAACTCTATATTTATTTCAACATCTTTATAAATTTAAAAATTTTGAATTTAAAAGTATTGAGAGAAATTATGAATTTACATGCTTTTTGTATGGCTTTATGATCTGTTAAAATGTTTAGGATAGATATCTGGGTAATTTAATAGTATTTTAGCATTAGTCTTTTTTAAATAATTTTCAATTCTATATTGTGCTGGTGAAATGCACTATAAATTCCTGTATGTGTGATTCATGCTTAGCGTTTATGTCTTAATTCACATTTATATATTGTAGAAAAAGAATTGGATTATTGCAATAAATTAGCAAAGAAAAATTGGTCTCGTTCACAAAATTTCTCCAATAGTTTTCCTTCTTGAATTTTATGACTGAAGATTTATAGAATGCCTCAATGACTGTTAGATTACAAATCAATAAAAAATAGCTTATGAATCCCTTTAAATAAGTGAGTAACAGAAAAAGAAAAAGTTCATTATATATGCTCATAAGTTTCTGCTAGCCCAGTTTATTATGTAAAGTTTGTTTCATTTATGTGGTTTGTTGTATTTTTAGCTAAGAGATATGGATATTTTAAAGTTCAACAATAGTTGGCTAAGAAATAATGTCTTTAGTAAAATAATTTAACAATAAATACTTTATTATAAATAATTTGACCTTTGTAAGCCATTATACATATAATGCATATGAATGAAGCGTAATCACATGATGAAAATTTTTACTATTTTCTTCCGAATGCCTCAGCTGAAATTGTTTGAGGGTTTGCAACTGCTTGAGGTCTAGAGTTTGCAAATGCTTGAGCCCTAGAGTTTGCAAATGCTTGAGGCCTAGAGTTTGCAAATGCTTGAGCCTTAGAGTTTGCAAATGCTTGAGGTTTTGTAAATACCGGAGCGTTACATTTATTTGATTTGCAACTTAAATTTTCATCACAAGGACAAAAGAGGGAGTAAACATCTTCAACATGACGGATCTCTTCATTTGGGTAATACAGCATTCTGTCTTCTGGTTCTGCCCCTGTACGACACCAATCTCCAGCTCTCCCTTTTGGTTTACATTCAGGAATAGAATATCGTTCCATGTCTATAAGAATGTAAATTTATTATTTTTCTGTGAATGACACTCATGAATAGTCATGAACTCCAAAAAGTATATTTTATGATCTTTTATTTGTTTTTAAATTATTCCTATTTGAATGAGTTAGAAAAACTTAATCAAAACAAAAGGATTTATTATGAAAAACACAGTTAATACATTGGGCCGTCTATTAATTTTTAGTGTTATTCTTAATCAGAAAGAATGGTCATAAAACATGAAAATAATTGATTCGCATATAAAGGCTTTTTAAATGCAGTGTATGTCAGCGCAATCAAGAAGTTTCAATTCCTGCCTGCGGATCGAAAAAGAATTCTGAGAATATAACTTTACTGACATTTTGAATTTTTTTTAAAATTCATTTTGCACAATAACCCTCTCCTCTCTGTTGTATAATTATATCGGTCATTATAAATTATAGCTGTTTCATTCTCTAAATTTAAGTATCTATATATATATATATAAAGAGCACCTTTGTACAGAACCACTGCTCTTTACCTCATGCAATGATAAATAAAGCATCTATCTTTACAAAAAGTATACAAGGTGATAAAGATTGCACCAGACTTGAGCTGGATGCAATTGAAATTCCTCATAAAAAAATTATTGTAAAACTGGTCTTCCATAAATTCATTGATTTAGTTCGCCTGGGCTTTATACCAGGGTGTTAAACTGCACTATCCCCCACTTATATCTATAAAAAAAGTACAAGTATTAAAAAGTAAAAGTAGTTCATGTGGGTACATACTTTAATGGATAAAATAATTCCTTTTAATTATTAGGTTTCAACCAACTTTACCTTTTTACTACAAATTTCATCATTGACGACTTAATCTTCTATTAAATGTTTCTTCTATTTTTTTTCTTAATGTATATGAATCGTTTTAACCGTGATATCATTTTTACCTGCTTCTAATAATTGAATATTAATTATATTCATCATTTTTCCAATTTTAAATTGTATACCAAATTAAGTTAGTAAAACTTGTAAGATTCAAACATAGATTTTCGTAAAAAAAAATTTAAATGGTGATCTAATTAGTTTTAAATATTAACATAATCTAAACTTCCTAAAAAGACTGAGAAACTTATTTTCTGACAAAAAAATAAAATGGAAAAAAGTATAAACTCTTAATGCCAACAGTGACTACTGGTAACATATTCTTCAAATATTCTCACTATTGATATGATCTCAATAAATTTATGCCGAAAAGTTTCCAATAGAATTAAAAGTTTTACTGAAATCGATGAAGTAAGATTTGTTTTCAAAATAAAATTTAAAAGTTTACCATGTTATTTTCAGCTATAGTTCTTTGATAACAAGTGTAAATTAATTGAGCTGTTGCTCTAGTATGAAAGTGTGTCCTGATGACAAGAAGATAAATAACACTAAAGCCTGAGGTTTTAGAAATATGTGCACGGGATGAGGTACCAATTATCTGTCCTGAAACACATCAATTTGCTCTGCTTAAATTTATGTTTATTTAGGAGTGTTGAATTCAACATATCAACTTATGAATGTTGTTAAAATAATGAACTTATTTTATGATTTGTTACTGCTTGCCTCATATTTTTTAATGTTATTTTGACTCACTCAAAAAGTGCTTTAATAAATTAAACTTTTAAAAATACAGGAATACAGAAAGTACTAATTAATTATTTAGATTGAGATATTTCACTCAATGCAGAACGCAGAAAGAAAAAAAATTTCATTTTCTTTTAAATATAATCTGTAGAAGTGAAAAATGATGTTATTAAAATATCATTTGAAAAGTAGTTTTTATTCAGTGTTTTAGTCGTGTTAAATAAGTGTTCAACAAGTAAATAAGTTATGTTAATTGTTTAAATTGAACAAAAAGGTATACTTACTGATAACACAACATTCATTGGGGCCACAATCTCCTTTTTTGTAGCATTCCCTTGGCGTATAACTAATGCACACCTATTCATTAAATATTAGATCATGATGAACTTCTTAAAATTAATAATTTTCTTATTCCATAAATGTTTTTAAATTATGTGTAAAAATACAGACAAAAATTTTACTAAATATGTAAAATAATTTGTTTTACGCATTTTGAAACCAAATTCAAAAATCAATTAAAAAAATTTATTAATTAATTAAATTTAAAAAACTAGCTTTTATGTAGTGCAACTTCTAAACATAATGCTTTGAACATCTGAAATTTTACTAAGCCATTCTTTTTCTCTTTTTCATTTTGGAAAAAGAAAAAAAAATTTAAATGTAAAATAAACTTAAAAATCGATTAGCATAAATTTATAGTTAATAATAATATAATAATAATTTTGTTGGTACTTGCCGTTTCATTTTTATTGAAAATTAAGGTTTATATATATCTATATACTTTTGTTCAATTTTGAACAAAAAGCAGTTTTTATTCAAATTTTGAATTTTGCAACTCAAAATTACGTATTTTTAGTAAGATAACCTAAAATATTCAATACCTTACATTTCAAAAAAATTTTTTAGCCCATTATAAAATTTTAAACAAAAATTTTTTCATAATTTCGAGCATTATAAATAATTGTAAATAATTATTTTGTCTAAAATTATTTTTGTGTAAACTAATTTGTTAATTGGAGCAAAAGATTAAGGTTAATCAAAAAGTAAAATAACATCTAAGTCACTTCCACGTGATAAAACTTTTGGTATATTTGTGTTTTGATGGCAGATACGAATCCGTCAAAATAAGACTTATTCCGAGAAAATATTTATTATAGATTAAAAGTAGTTATTTTATAGAGATACGTATTTTGATAATATAGTAATACTAATTATTTAAGTTTAAGTCTCTTAAACTATTAAGATTACAATTTATTACGCAAAAATCGGATTATTAGATTAATCTTTTTTTCCAAGTTTTTTCCAGATTTTTAAACTTAACTAATGAATTTGACGAAACTGATGAGCATTAAACCACTAAAATTATTAAACTATTACATTTAATTGTAATATCTTGGTCATTTTTTTACATATATTTCATTGAGTATATCGTTTGTCTTTGAATAAAAATAGGTAAGGAATAAAACTGGAGGCTTAAATTAAAACAGGAAGGAGATAATCTAGAATTTGATTAATTTTTTGGAAAGATAAACAATTTCATTTCACTACGTATAGAGGATAACGTGTTTAAGTATATGTATATGAAACATTTTCTTGAAATTATAAAAAATTTATCATTGTAACAAAACTGCAACTTACCTGAAATAAAAAAAATAGAACAATACTCAGAGTAAAATACATCATGTTTCCCATTCTAATGGTGAAGATTTGCGTCTAAAAAAATAGTAAAAGAAATATGCTATTTATATTAACTGAATAAAAGGATTCTTTTGATGAATTAAAATTATTTTAATCTATCAAAAGGCATAGGACATCATAAATTATTTCTCTGTGTTCAATTTATTATATAATGAACAGACCAAGTCGCGGGATGGTTCCCTTTTTTGACATTATTTCTTAAGAAAATGTTCTGTAACTTAAGCGGTAATATAATTAGAATTTTTTTAAAACTTTATTTACAAGTGATTTAGGGAAATCAGTTGAAAATTAAAAACAAGAACATATATTTAGAAATACTTCATGACTGCGAAAAAAAAAAAAAATCTGTATAAAACTTTTTCACATGCCTCATATAATTATTATCAATGTCGGCAATATTTACAATGAGAAAAAAAAGACTGTATTAGCTTTTGTTTTAATAAAAGGATTTTCGTGTTTTAAGTGCCAATCTTAATCGGTTCAAGAGTTGACCTCAATTATGCTAATTAATTAATAATTATTATTAATGAAATACCGAAACCAGACACAAAACAGAATTTTTCTTCTTTTTTCTTCCTTCTTTTTTTTTTTCTTTTCGACTTGGATTCCTGCCTTCTAGAATGGGGATAGACAAAACTTCAAAAAATTGTGTGTAGGTTTTCCATAATGGCCACTCTTAATATGTATTTTTAAACCTTTGTCAAGGATGAAATCAGAGAAGTATACCAATTAGGTCTCAAGTTAATATTTTAAATGAGGAAAAAACAAAAAGTTATCGAAATATAACAAATTAAAACTGAGGAAAGCTATGCAGGAAATATATTAAAACCTGTTTGACTGCCGTAAGAAACAAACATTAGATGAAAGGTGATTATATAAAAGAACTCCAGGTTTGATCAAACTTTCAGTTCAACCTCTCTTAGTAGTGACTGGTTTAATTTTGATAACATTTTTCCCTCGCTTACATACATGATTGACGTCATTCTTGACAAAGGTTTTTAAAATAATGATAACATTTTGCTCATATGTTTTCAAGTGTACAATCAAACCTATTCCTAACAGACCCGACAATGGTATTGGAGGCAGTCTATATTATTTCATTTTTGCTCTCATTGAACTGGAAAATCTATTTTAAGGAAAGGTAGGTTTGCTGTCGCTTACAACTTTTAATGGTACGTGAAGCAAGCATATTAACCTTTGTTCTAAGGTTTTTACCCATTATAGGGGCCAATCTTAATGGTTCAAAGAATTGAAATTAACCTTTTGCTTACGGCTGGTACAGCATGTTGAACCACGTGTGATGGTGCACCGTAAGCAAAGGGTTAAATATGCTACCGGGTCCTAAAATTCTGGCTGTTCGGGTTTTCTAGTTCTGTGTACCTGGTAAAATTTAGATTTATTACCCATCTAGGTATTATAGCATTTATGCAAAACAAAATAAAAATCCTATGTAAATAAAATTTTACTTTGAAGTTTAAGAACAACCAACACCTCCATCAACGACCCTTTTACTGTGGAACTGAGAGTGGTCACTTCCGAGAGGTATTGTATGTCTTCAGATAAATAAAAATTTTAAAATTTGAGACGATGATTTTAGTATTTTTTCATCTTTATATATTTTTATACAATTTTGCAAGATTTATCAAAAGAAATTTCTAAAAGCTTTATATATATTTTAAAATTAAACCAAGCTGTCGCTGAAGTTTACTAAGACATGTCATATAAGTTTAACCTTCTAAAATTTCTAATTTAAGAGGGTTATCTAGTCTAGAGGTCCGATTTAAGCCTCATTTTTTAAAAAAATTCCAGTGAAATAAAAGAATAAGTGATATCATGATTGCCTGTCTTTCCGTTACATATTTTCTAGGGCGAAATAATTATAAATTAGCATATAAAAAAAAAGATGAACGGGTCGATCTCCTTATTGTTTAACTTGAAACATATGAGACCAAAAAGTAACGATTATGTATGACTGTAGCTATGATTACATCCACACAAAAAAACAAAGCAAAAAGAAGACGACAAAATCGGAATTTAAACATACATTAAAAAATTGGAATTTCGGAAAAGATTCAATTTTTGGTGGTTCCAATTCTCAACTGATTTCCAAAGCGACGTAAAAATCGATTGATTACTTTTTCTGTAATTCAAGGGTGGAACAAAATAATAATTTTTGGGAAATTGTGTTTTAAGTTTTATAAAGTTCGGCTTTTAGGGGACTCAGGATCATTGGACGATGCCTGGACCATACTGCACACCTTCCTCGAACTCCGTTAGTGTGCACTCCCGGTCTGGCTTTTCTGCTAGCGGTAGTCACGCTGTACTCTCAAAGTGAACTGCATTGCGTTGCCTAATTCGAATACTCGTGACATCCATCATATTAGCAATCCCCATGAAATCATCAAAGCCAAATAATTTTATTATATAACAGTCGTTGAACAGCCAATTTTTGGGTTTACGATTACTAATGTTCAACTCCATAGCTTTGTAATTCTGAATCCAATTCAGAAGACAAGGGAAATCCTGGATCAAGTATTGGGAGAAATTTGTCTTCATGGAGGACTTTTCGATGGAATTAACCCACATTTGCGTTACATGGAGAGGGAAACCACGAGAACCTCTTACGGTTAGCCTGACAGCAAAGGGACTCTAACCCATGATCCGTCTACCACTGAGGATATTTCACGTCAGCACTGTGGTCTGTGCAAGCCGGATGCGAATTCACATGGACCAGCCATCGTTGTGATTCGAACCCCGTTCACCTTATTGGAAGGTGAACGCTCTATTCCCTGAGCCATTGCGGCTTATAGCCAAATAATTGGCATATCTTTACTGTAATAGAAGTGTTTTGGAGAAGCTTCCAAATAATAGAGTTCAGCGATTAGTTATTATTTTGACTGTTCGCTCCAACATATCTTTCCAGAGCCGCGATGGCTCAGGGGAAAGAGCGTTCGCCTTCCAATGAGGCGAACCGGGTTCGAATCCCAGTCGATACGAATTCCGCATCCGTTTTGCACCGACCAACGTGCTAACGTGAAATATTTTCAGTGGTAGATGGATCATGGATTAGAGTCCCCTTGCCGTCCGGCTAACAGTGGGAGGTTCTCGTGGTCTTCCTCTCCATGAAAAGCAAATGCTGGTTTGCTCCATGAAAAAGTCCTCCACGAAGGCAAATTTCTCCCAATACTCGATCCAGGAGTTCCCTTGTCTTCTGGATTGTGTTCAAAATGACAAGGCTGCGGAGTTGAACATTCGTAAAACCCATAAAATTGGGGGTTCCAATCAATTGTCTTTTGATAGGTCTTCGAATATAGGCCACGACGACGGATTGTCCGATGATAACGTTATTCAACTAAATTAAATAGTTTCCATTGTAAGATATGTTATTTTTAAACAAAAATATTTTCAGTCTTCTTTAAAATATTTGAAGACAGAGAGGGAGGAAATTATATGAAAATGAATAAGTTCGTAAGTTGATATTTTCTTAACTTTCTAAATTTAAAATATTGTGTTATTATTCTATGAAGTTTGATATCTTTTGTTAGTTAGGTTTATTCCCTGTAGCAAAATATTTTTTTAAAAAAATGTCATTTTTTAAAAGAAAAAAAGCTATATGAGTAAAAAATATAATTTAAATCTATAAGAAGCTCAGATAAAGTAGTTCTTTTTTTATTTAAATTTACATGGCATAGTTATAATAGAGAACAAATTACTTTTTATTTCATAAGCAAGTCTTCTTTGCGAATTTTTGCAATTTTCACACCTGTTTGACTCCTTAAATTTAAAACCTTTGAGTGCATAATTTTTTAAAACCTATTTAAAGCATTAACATAATTTTTTTTACTGAGCTTTATATTAACTTCTTAAACATCGATATTTGAATAATATGTATTATAAATATTTTTTTTCCAAAAAATCGAAACAATTCTAATTTAAGAGCTATAATATTGAAATTGCAAATAAATTTAGCTCGTTGTCGTGCTTACCGCATTCTATATCATTTTGAAATTTCAAAACTTTTTAAATTATGAGAAATATATTTACCGTATGATGATTTGAGAAATTATTGCTCATAATATCTATTTTTATTAGCTCAAAAGCTTAGAAATTTCAATAGTTTGAAACGCTTGCTTTTCGTTAAGGCTGTGAGACCCCTAAAAAAATACGATTCTTAAATTAAAATTTAGTTATAAATTTAAATAATTTATTAATACTTTTACCTTTGACATGCATCATGGCATGCCTTAAAGTTGCAGTGTCAAAGAGTTAAATTTTTCAAAATTTAATTTTTTTAAATTGATTGTTAGCTATTATTCCACTCAAAATCGTATAGTTAAGTAATTAAAATTTGTATTTATTTCATTATAGTGAAGTGCGCATTAGAGAAAAAAACTTGTAGATTGAAAAAATCGTTAATAGAAGTTATTATAAAGTTTGCATCATAGAAAAAAACAACTTACTTGTAGACAGTAAGAACTTAACTTACTTGTAGCTAAGAGCTAAGCTGTGAATCTTGTGTATTTGTTGCACTGTGCGTTTAACTCCTTGAAAATGCAATTGGAAACAATGCACGTTTCTTTATTAAAGAAGGTTACGAGATCCTTAAAGAAAAAGATGCATCGAATTGATTTATCCTTTGACGTCTGGTGCACGTTTTTAAGTATTGTTTTGCATTGTGTTGATGGAAAGTCCAAAAGAATCTGATTTCGAAGAGCCGTTTAAAGTTTTTATGGTTTTGAAAATTTCGCTTCTTTTTGAAAGTAAGCAAAAAGTAAAAATTTTATGATTGCCTCACGTTTTTACATAGAATAGAAAACTCACTGTTGCTTATTTTAATAACATTTAGGTGAAATTTTATGTGTTTGACATTGAGAAGTTAAGTAGTGTTCACCTTAACATTGAAGTGTCGGTGTTATAATTTGGAGGTAAAAACTGGCGAAGCTTGTTTAGTCTTAAAACCAAATTACGCACTAAAATACCACACTTTATATACTTTCTAATTTTTAAAACGGAAAACAACGCGAGAGCAAATAAAAATAACTAGAAGCAGTCAACTATTTCGATCCTATAAATAAGCAACAATTCACGTGAAAAAGGAAAATATTTCGACATTTTCTTCTTTTTCTTAAAAAAAAATTCATTTAAACATAAAAGTGAGATTTATTTTACTTAAAGAAAAAAAAATCTACTTTCGGTTTATGAATTATTATTATAGTTAACCTACTCGTGTGTATATAATATATACGTGGGTGTATTTGTGCGTTAACGGAGAAGCATGACTTGTTGTGTCTAAATAACCTTAATCACACAAAATGTAATAAAGATACAATAATTATTATTAATAAAAATATTGTTTTTAATGCACAATGTTGGTAAGATTGAGGCAGAAGTTTTTCCATTTATCGGTGTGAAAATAATTAATTTGTGATTTTCAGGCAATTTGAGTTTCGTAGCAACTTGTGTGGAGCCTATATAATACGTAATAGCTGGAAAGTTATACACATTATTTCTATTTGTATTTCACACAATAACTATTGGAGGAATGAGTGATTTTTACACCTTTTTTTCATTTATTTATTGTTACACATACATATGTAGGCTTGTGTGCTTCTTACAAAGACAACGAATAAGCCCTTGTCAAGTGAAGAACAGAAAGCACAAATTAAATCCTGGGTCGAATTCGAACCTCCACTCCAATTTTTTGTTGAGCAATGCTACCCCAACAACTTGGAACCACAAAATGGAGAATTCGGCAGAGCAGACCAACCAGTCGAAAATATTTTTCTCGTTTTCAATGCTGTACATACTATTCTTAATATTAAAATAATCAATCTACACCTTTGTTTTTTGGGTTTGTTTACTACTAATGAAATAATCTTTATCAAAAAATTGAATTTAATATTGCACCGTATTCTAAAACCGGTATCCAAAATTTTTTTTTATAAAAATTTGAAAAGGAAATGTATTGTTGTTTAGTTCCGATTTAATTTTATTATCTGCGAATCATATTTAATTTCAAAATCTACAATCAAAATCCAAATAACAAGTTTATAGCTGATTTAGTGATAAAAGAAAATCAGTGATAAATTTTGTTAGAATATCGCAACACGGAAAAATTGTTAAATTCAGATGTGTGACGTCATATTGGCGCCATTCATTAATGAAATTTTTAATGATTAGCTGAATAAGTAATAGAACGGGACATGTTTTCGTCTGCATGTAAAAATACTACATGTACTCGAATAATTTAAAGGTGGAATAATTAGTGTTGATAGGTCGTCAAAGCGTATTCATCTATATTTTTTTGCAATTGCAATGTTTGGTTATGACAATCATATTATCATTGTTATTAACTATGTATCTAAATTTTTGTCCAAAATAAAATATAATTCATAAATATTTTTTGTCCAAAGAAGCATAATTCATATATAATTTTTGTATAAATTAAGTAATGTTCTTTTATATTATCACAATTTTTTTTAAAATTTTTATTTCAACTATAACTACATTTAGTATTGCAGTTATTGTTATAGTCAAAAATAAGTGTCTTTAAGATAATTAATGTGTGTCATGAAATTAAAGCAATTAAAATTTTACCAGGGCTGGAAAAATCTCAAAATCTTTATATGTCTTTCCGGGCATGTCAGTCTACAAAATACATGCCTGAACATCTTAATTAAAGTGTTTGCATAGGAGAAAAATGCAGAAAATAATCGAGCTTTTAATTCATTCTAATGAAAAACTATAAACTAGTAATAAACTAATTGCTGAATAATCCTCCATACTTTTTAGAAGGACAGGAATAGGACAAAACAGCTGAAAAAATCAGAATATTAAGTAGGAATGAATTTTTAAATAGCTTTACAAATAAAAGAAAAATCATCTACTCTAACATTGTTGAATTTCGTTAAGGATTTGAAACTGATTCCCGTAAGAGTTAAGATCGTTTCTCTTGCGTTTTTCTTTCACATTACACATGTTAGGGGAATGCTTATTTTTTAATGAAAATGAGCATGACTTAGGGGATAAAAAAGGGTAACTTTACCTTATGAATTACTTCTATAATTAAAAAATCAGCAACAAGCTGAAACAATGTAATCGATTTTCCTTTTTTTTCCTTCACCCTTGGTACCGTTTATCCGCCTCATTAATCGATTTTCATCAAAATTAAAGGGGGCGCTTTTTCAATATTAAACATTTATGTGCCCGACCGGGCATGTAAAGGCAAAAAATGCATGCCCGATAGGAATTTTTACATGTTTTTTCGATCCCTAAATTTAACACTATCCCAAAAATATCATTGTCTTAAAAAATCGTTTGAAGTATCAGATGAGTGTTATTATTTTTCGAACCGTTGCTGTAAAACCTATTGTAATCAAATATTGTTGTTTATGATAGAATTTTAATTAAAATGTAATTAATTAGATCAAAATAAATGATTAGGACTAAGCAGGAGAGACGATGTAATAAATAATTACCTTCAATTCTGAATGAATATTCTCATAATCCAACTTGGATACAGCCGTCAACACAACCTATGCTCACCTTGAAGAAGAAAAAGTGAACAAGTTCACGGTCACTATCAACTCCTACGGCAATTCAAACAGGTCCGCCCCATGAAACTAACTTTCACTTATTTATTTTAATCATTTCGTAATTGTTGATTTCATTGTCTCCCTTTTGGAATCAGCAAGAGCTATGAAAATTAAAATTCCAAAGCGCAATTATTTTTTTCCAGACTGTTTCTCCAATTCCTTTTTTTTATTATCAGTTGGATGATTTGGCAGAGAAGTAATAAATTACCTCGTAATTGAATGTACTTTTATTAGAATTTGCGAGATTAAGTATCTGTTCCATTAAATCAGAAATAATCTTGAGTAAATATCATTTTTGTGATCGATTGTTGCAACTGAACAAATTGCGTTTTTGTTGAGAAAGACTTTTCATAAAATGTTAACATCCTATTAGAAAAATTAGCTTGGCTGAACAAATTATCTTCACAAATATAAATGTACATTAATACAATAAAGTGAAATCTATAGTATTGTGTGGAAAGTGGACAAATATTACAAAACTTAATGTCAAATAAATCCTGAAAACGCATTAAAACTTACCAAAATTTCCTTTTTATAACTGTAAAAAAATTGATGCATATTAAAAGATTTTGATATCAAGTAAAAAAATATTTCACATTTTCACAACAATTATATTTATATGGAAAAAAAATGCGGTCATGCATCAATTAGAAATTACACATTATAAGCAAATTATTAAAAACATTTTTAATTTAGAAAAAAAGCAATAAGCAGTAAAAACAAAAAATGTTGATTTCGTATTTTTTTTAATTTTACATTGTATTTCATAAAGAATATCATAACTTTTAAGATCTTTATAATATATAAAAACTAAACTTGGAGATTACTATTTACATCTAATTTCCGTTAATAACTAATAACATCGTGGCATTTTTAAGGAGATGTATAAAAGTAATATTTTAATGTTAAAGAATAATTTTTTGTATTTGAAAATGACGATAATAAATACAAGTCTGAAAATAAAGTTCTTCACTGCAAGATTACTATTTTCAAATGTTTCTTTTTTGCCGCTTATTTAATTATGATTTTTTCCCCGTCTGACCGCTCGCTTTTGATATTTTTAATCATATTATTCTTAGAATTTGTGTATTCTTAGTACTTGTGCTTCTTACATTGTGCTTACTTGTGCTTCGAACATTATTTTTAGAATTTTTTTGAATTCGTAACTTTGCAGCATTCCATTAATATGAATGCGACTGGCCTATCAGCACCAGTTTCTATTAGTACAGGAAGAACATGTACAGAACTAATCTAATATTTGTATTGAATACAAGTTTCGATTTTAAAATTGCTTTCAAAACTAAGGCGACACAGAAAAGTTGAAATAGCTTCAAAACATGGATTGTTTTTTCATCGACAATGCTACTTAAGAGATTTACAATAAGAAGATCAACCGATATAACGGCGTCACTTGTTTTCTTTTCTATCTAAAAAAACACTGAAAATGTGAATATTTTGTACCCCAATACAGTTGAAACTCGATAGCTCAGTAATATGAATTATCGCAAAAAATCTTAATTCCCTATGCATGTACTATGCTGCTAATACTAATCGAATAAATTATTCGGGGAACCTCGATTTCACGAAATATTTTTGTTCAATAAATTTTTTTTTGTCTGATTTCTGAAAAATTTAAAATGTTCTTTTAGATTCTAATTCTTAAAATGTTATGGACGATTTTATGAATCATTTCTTAAGACGACAATAAGAAAGAAATTAAAATGTTTGAAACTAAATAGCCTGAATTATCTATTCCAAAAGAAATAGTCATGCGAGATGTGCTCATAAAATAGAAAAGAACTTTCGAATTTAATAAATTGTAGAGAAACTGATATTGATAAAGAAGTAATTATTGTAGACTACAATGTTTCAATATGTAGTGTTAGGAAAGAATCAGAAATGAGGCATCTCGTGATACGTTTGAAAAGATCTTTTTTGGTGTAAATACATTATAAACAACTTCTAAAAGTCAGTTATTTTGTTGACAGAATTGCTAAAAAATTTTACACTTTCGATGTCCCAAATTTTTGATATCACGGAATTTTTAGTGTTTCCCTTTAAGTTCAAAAAATCCAAGTTTCATTTTCATGCTTGCTGCAACTTCAAAAAGTTCTTAAATTGAAGCATATTTCAATTCAAGTTGAACTATAATTTAGGAATAATAATTGAGGTAACATTGCGTTAAGAATTGCAGCACAAAATTTTAAGAACTCAATTTGGCTATGTAAAAGTAATCTGAAATATTTTTTTGTTGATGGTACAGTGCGAGACTTTGCGGACGATGATTCAAGGATGCGATCTCAGACTCACTGAATTGTTTTTTGTGGAAATGCAGATTATTGGAAGTAGATAGATATATTTAAAAATCACTGCATTTATTTTTAAAACATAGGACCAATCGTCACATCTAATAAGTCCCTTATTATGAGCAGGGCGGGGTTAAGTTAAGTCAAATATAATAATAAGTTAATCTTTGACTGAAACAGTATAGTAATTTTATATGTGAGGAGGTAAAAGCTATTACAGAAGTTGCTTTGGGAATAATAATAAATAAGGAAAAAGAATAAAATGTTCAATTTTATAGAAGGTATTGTGAATAACTAATGAAACTCATCTGAAATATTTTTTAAATTTGTACATAATGGTAAAAACTAAGAGTGACACCAAATTAGAAAGTTTTTTTAAAATTTTTATAATGAGCTTATGAATCACTATACATTTTTAAAATAATTATATGCGAAATAACATATGAATGTTTGTTCCTGAGTGAAGATTCGACTGAATGTTAAGATCCATTTAAGAGTGATTCCACATAGGGAATTAATCATCAGAAAGAAAGATAAATGCACATTGTCTCAATCTGCTTATGGCAAATGATTATAAAGGTCACGTTACAAGATCTAATGGTCGCACCGCCAATTCTGAGTGTTTCGATAAAGCGTTAATTAATTGAATATTAAAATTGTCGAATCCCTGAAAACCTTGAATTGGGCCATCAAATATAACTTCCGTTGTTCCGTAGTTATTACCAATGTATGGTGTTCTCCCATCTTGATAACCACCGTGGTAATTATTTTGTGGTCGCTCGTTGGGGAAAACTCCACCTCTAATTACTTCGAAATTTCCACTTCCTAAAACTCCATAGGAATATCTTCGAGCTTCGGAAGGATAATAAAATCTTTCCCCTGAATTTCTATAGTATCTACCATCTGTATTTACTGGCATGGACGGAACTGTATGTATCTGAATAGGAGATTGCCCATAAAAGGGAAAATTTAATTGAATAGCACCACCATTAAATGTGCCTGTGATAGGCAAAAACCCAGAGCTTGCTTCCTCAGGGTAATTAATATTTGAAACATGTTCAGTCTCTCTATTATTGTTTTCTTTAGCTGCTGTTGAAACGGATCGTTTCCGTCTTTGCTTCTTTTGGTATTGCTGCATGTTAATGTTGTGTGTTGTGTCTATTGGAAGATTTTGTTGTGGAATTTGTGAATACATAGCGTCAGTGTTTGACAAGCCAGGAAATCTGTGGTTTTGCAAGAAAGATTCCTGTTGAGGATTTTGGGGAATCACCGGATTTGGGTTGTTTGCTTGGGCATTAAACATATTTTGATAAAACTGGAAAGGATCATACGCTGTCTGTTGCGGTATTTGAGTAGGGTAAGTAGCTTGATTAGCTTGATTGATATTGGAAAACATGCCATGTTGAAATGCTGTCATAAAATCAACAGAATAAGGAGTTCCATGTTCTGTGCTCTGAGGTAATTTTTCTTCGAAGAAATTATCAGGTGTTTTTTCGTTTTGATAAGCCATTTCATCATCATATTTTACTTTCCTAGGCACATTAGAAGTATTAATTGCAGCTCTGAAGTCGTTGTCTTTTATAATTTTTCTTTGCCTTGATCCAGAGTTTCTGTGTTTTGGATATCGAGAGTCTTCATCTGAATCCTCTTCATAACGCAGAAAACCAGCACCATCAAATGACATTTCGACAGGAATATCATTCATTATCGAAACAGAAGAAGGCCTGCTTTCTTGGGCTAACATTGGTTTGTGTTTTACCTTCGAAAATTCCCTTTCATACATATTTCTCTTAACCCGCTGCTTTGTTTCATATTGGTTAGACGATACATTAACAATATTATTTTCTGATTCATCTACAGATTCTGTTGTAAAGAAACTGCTTAAATCACCTGGATACACAACTTGTAAAGGTAATGGCTTTCTTGTAACTGGACGTATAGAAAGTTCATCGTTGAGCTTTTCAATTTCTTGATTGCCTCCTTCTGCTTGGTATGTTACTTGCCTTCGATCTAAGAAAAAGAAAAGAAATCTTAGTTAAAGGCAAATCTTAACAAATTCTTATGATTTTTTTTCCATAAATTTTGAAACGAAATACAAATTTACTTGAACTATTTTATTAAATGCAAATTCAAATTAAAAGTCATTTTACAGTTGGGGAGGAGTAAATGATCAATGAAAGGGAAGAAAGACGTAGATGTTTCATTGTCTTTGAGAAATTAGTATAGGTTGAGGCTAATTTTTGATAGCTTCTTAGGCTTGAGTTATGTAAGGAAGCAACGTTTGAAGTTTTTCTAGACTCCAAATATCTTTTCAATAAATATATTCCATTTTAAATAAAACTCTTCATTCTTTAAATCTCGTATTTTTTTAATGAAAAAATTTTTGCTGTNAAAAAAAAAAAAAAAAAAAAAAAAAAAAAAAAAAAAGGAAAGAAAAGATTAAGAAGAAGGATCGCAGTCGAAAATTTTAAAAAAATTATTTAAATTTTCTTATTTTAGCAACTATTTAAATTTTACAATATGTTTATTTCAATAAACAGTATGTAATTGTCATAAGCGCATATTTTCTAGAAAAATAGTTGAATGATAATCTACCACTTAATCTACTTTATTGACACAAGCCACACACAAAAAAAAAAAGAGTTTCGTAATGCAATCCGGCAACGAACGTGTTAATCTGTATATTACGGGTTTTCTTTAATACTTACTTTATCTCTCTTGTTATTTATATTTATCTGGATTTAATATAATTCTAATTAGGTTCTAATTAAAATTCATAGTGACGTAATTTCAAGGATCGAGGGGAATGTACATTTTTTTTCGGCATAAAAAATCGTTCACCAATAATTTCGCAAAAACACAATTTGCTTCGCCGAATTTACGATTTTATCGCATTTAGCAAAGTGGCAAATGCTTAGAGCGGGACTATATACAGGGTGTCCCGAAACGACCGCATAAACTCTGCACAGTTAGATTCCTCGTTGGGAGTACATAAAAACTGCCCAAAGAAGCGTTCCTGTACGATCCATAGTTTACGAAAAAAATACGAAAAACAAAATATGACGTCACTGCCGGTGCAGGAGAAAACACTTTATTGAACATATCAACAGCAGTATACTATGTACAATTTAAAGCAGAACATGCGCGGCGCACATTTTAAACATTATCGTCTTGAAAGATATGCTAATACTGTCGTTAATATGTCCAATAAAGTGTTTTCTCTTGCACCGGCAGTGACGTCATACTTTGTTTTTCGTATTTTTCTCGTAAACTATGGATTGTACAGGAAAGCTTCTTTGGGCAGTTTTTATGNTCTCACTAAACGTTTGCCACTAACAAATAATCATAGACTATTTTCAACGTCCCGCTACAGCACTTTATTTATACGCTTTCAGCATCAATTCAGAGGGCGCTGCGCGCGCCACGCACGCGCGATGGCTCTGAAACTTTATTAATTTGCATAATATCCTATATCCATTATTAAAATAATATTTCATTTGATTCTGATGATTCCTTCATGGTGTTGCATTTTCTACAAACAGCAGTTTATATGTAAGGAACAATTGATTTATGCAAAGTAGCGTTCTTGACAGCCGACCAATGACACTATTACATTTCTACAATTACATGATAATTCAAGACCATACTGTTCAAAACCCTAAAAAAAATTATGAATCGGGGTAGAAATTCTTCAATTATCCACCAGACGCCATCAGATTTTCAATATATTCTGATTGCTACAACATTTTCTGCGGAGCAAAAATTTGAAAATATGGATGATATTCGAAATGTTCTCTTCAGATTTTTGCCCCACCCCCCAAAAAAAATAATCCGTCATTTAAATTTACTAGAATAGCTGGCAAAAGATTTCTGATAACGTAGATAACACAAAATTAATAATTATCACTTGTTTTTGAATTCAATGTAACAAGAACATTATTTTCCGGACCGATTAATGTTTCGCGCACTGTTTTCCTTTACTATTTTTTTAGACTTTGCATGCTATGTAAAATATGGCAAAGTGAAATAACTATCTGGATAAATTAATAAGGAAATTAGTTTCTCTGAATTTATATTAAATTTGTTGGAAGATTATATTTCTTTCGATATTAGCTTTCTCTCCTAAAATTATTTATATTAAATGATTTTTGTTTTTGCGAGTAATGTATCCATTTCATGTATGTATTTATCTCTTCATTATTTCAGAGCTTCATAGTTCAATTATTTCGTTCGATGGAATTTAAAATAAAATAACATTGTATAAGTCGTTAGTACCACCTTTTTATAAAAGAAAATAAATAAAAACTGTAGCAAGATTCGTACGCACCTAGAAAAAATTAAAAGCTGGTATCAATTTTGTGATTAAAAAGCTGAAAATTTCTTAATATTAGCTTCCATTTTCGAATTAAAGTTTCATGTACTCCACCTTCGGGTGTGCAGGTGGTTGACCACTTTGATCAGCCTGCGTTAGGGACCGAGAGTGCGCAGTATCGGTCCTCGTTAAACTGTTCCATCGTAAAGTGTTCGACTTCGCTCGCAGGTTGTTGGGCTACCAAAGCAAGGGAGCCATCCCCTCTGCAGATGAGTGATGGAATGTCTTCGGATCATCCTCAGGGATGCTTCCCAGACCGTCGCCAATAGCCCATTGTGCAGCTCTAGGGTGACGTTAATAAAGTACCCACCTACCTACTTCATATTCGGATCTGCATATATTTATTTAGAGAAAATAAAATTTTCTGGTAGCAAATATAATAATATAATAAGATAAAAAATGTATATTAATATTACTACTAATTTCCCTGGTGTGTATGTGTAGATTTTGACTTAAAATCGTAAATAACAATTATTTTACTCCGTTCATATTTATCCTTAATGGCGTCAAAAATATTTTTGATTACACGTGAAAATCAGCTGATGCTCTTGGCAGACATATGTTTCACAAAGGACACGCAATTCTAAACCGTGCAAATATCGCCTTCAGAGAGGAGTGGATCTCCCGAGGACTCATGAATATCAGATTGAAAATATGAATTAGAATCTGAGGTAAAATCACGCATCTTACTGCTGAGATACTCATTTCTGTTTGCTTTTAGTCAAAAGGCCTATTTTTCATGGCTGTTTGGATATCCTCCAATGAGTATCTTTTTTATGTATTTTATTATTTTTCGATCTGAACTATTTTGTATAATAATAAATGCGCATTGTCTCTACTGAAATTTCATTTCATCAATCAACATACATTATTAATTATTCCGAAAAATGTAAATGTTCCTTAGCAATCGTCACGCAATACATATATATATATATATATATATACATAAAAAGCTTCTATTAATATATTTTTATGTTAGTTTCTTCGTTATAAAACAACTCCTAATTTATTACTAATTAATTATTCAAATCGAAATGCTTTCGCACACTTTCAAAAGCCACATCCTGTTCTTAAAATCTATTTTTGGACCAAGTATGCATAAATTTAAATAAAGACATTTTTCCCTTTAAGTTTTGTGGGAATCCATCAACCTAGTTCATAAACCAATAGTAATTTCTGAGATTTCCCTCTTTTCCCTAAATAGAGACATTTTCGGATTTTTTGCAAGATTTTCCCTACCAGAAAGACTGATCGTGAATGAAGTTAACAACACTTTTCGTTCTCCACTCATCAAAGAATGACATAATAAAAGTTACTCTGTTTTCATTAGAATCCTGTGTCTGTTTTCCTGCTCGGTCCGACTGCATCATTTTGCAAGCCGGCAGGATCCGAATCTGTGCGGAGAAACCGAAATGGATTTCAAATAAGCTTTTTAATCTCGATCAGGAATCTGACACAGTTTTTCTTTTTAGGCCAAGGGGGGGGGGTAATATTGAATCTCAGCTCTCTAGTTGTATCCATCGCTTTCAGAACGTAGGCATAACATGCAGAATAGACATATGGAAAATCGTTGAGTTCCACTGGGCGTATGTATCATTTATAATAAACAAAAAGTTTGATGATTGAAGCATTTATTTTTTGTTGAAGATACTGGATGAATTATTAATTGTCATAAGTTGCAGAAGAATTTGACTAATAAATTTTCAACTGTCCATATGAATCAGATATTCCATATTTTTGATGTACCCTCTAATTTCAAATGCGATATTACATATCTTTGATGTACCGTTCGTACCCCCTTCCCGACCGTTTAATCCTGGCGATTTATAACGTCGTTGCCGAGTGGAAGGGTTAAAACAGGTCTTAGGCCGGGAAGGAGGGTACAAAATTTATTTATTAATTATTAGCTAGAGCAGTCATGAAAAGTGTGTCCGAAAAGTAGTGCTTCTTCATTATATGTTAGGGAAAATCTTGCAAAGTAAAATCCGTAAATGTCTCTATTTAGGGGAAAGAGGGAAATCTTAGAAATTGCGATTGGTTTAAGAAATAGTTCGAGTGATTCTCACGAAGTTTAAAGGGAAAAATGTCTTTATTTAAATTTATGCATACTTGGGCCAAAAATAGATTTAAGAACAGGATGTGGCTTTTAAAAGTGTGAGAAAGTATTTCGATTAGAATAATTAATTAGGATAACATAAAAAGATTAATAGAAGCTTTTTATGTTACAGTTATATATGTTACCGGTAAAGTATGAAATCCGGCATTGTAT